CAGTTCCAGAGCAGTGCTCCTCCGAGTGTGATCCGGGGTCTTCCGGGGGTCCTGGAAATGTTTCACAGAGTCTGTCAGGTCAAAACTACCTTCACAATAATCTGAAAGTGCCATTTGCTTTTTCCACTGTCATTCTCTTGCAAGAGGCTACATGACAGGTATTATGACAACCCATGGAACACAAAAACACGTAAGAGAATCCGCAGTCTTCTATTAAGCCAGATAGTATAGAGATTTGCCAAGACGTAAAACAATGCCACGCTTCCCCTCTCATTGATTTTGCTCTGGAAAATACCATTTTTAATTAAATAGGTGTTACTTATCTACTCACACAATGAGATAATATTATGTTTCGTGAATATTAGTTTTAATGAATAATTTAAATGTTTCTTTGTTTTAATTTCTGAGACAGTAATTATTAATAGATGTAACTCTCCAAATCAAAAGCTCCCCGAAGTCCTCAGTAAGTGTTCACAGTGTAAGAGGGCTTTGCGATCAGCTGGTCTAGAGCCTGCCTAACTCAGCCTCGGGGCTGGTATTCCCTCCCCCACCACGTATTTTTTGCACATACTTCCAGTTTCAGACAAGATGAAGTGGATGAATTTCTCCCTATTGCTCTGCCTGAGTACTTCTAAAAACCCTGGACATTACATATACGACAAATATAAGAAGTCACTGCAAGGTAAACAGAAGGCAGTTAGGGACCTCAGGACTCAGGGAATGACATGTCACTGGGGTGGTATCAGCAGAGACCTAGTGGGGAGCCTGAACTTCCACTCTGACCCAGAAATTATGAGGCACCCACCCCCAAACTGGTGTCAAGAGCTGAATGAGAAGCCTGGACTTCTACCCTAACCTGGTGGTAACCAGTGGCAACCCCCCAATGCAGTCTCAAGGAGGGGCTGCTAGAACAGAAGACCGAAATAAGCTCCAGAGTCTCATAACACGATGCCCCCAATGTCCCAGATACAATTTGAAACCACTCATAATACCAAGAATCATTTTGAATGAGAGAAGATCATTAACAGACACCAACACTGAGATGACAGAGATTTTGAAATGACCTGACAAGGATTTTAAAACAGCTATCAGAAAAATGCTTCAATGAGCAAGTAAAACATGCTTGAAATAAAAGAACGAATAGAAACTCTCAGCACAGAAATAGAAGCTATAAAGAAGAATCATGTGCTTTGCTTGTTTCACTCACATTTCTGGAATGACCATCCTCACTCTGCACCTGGGCCAAGGCTCCTTTCTCTCCCTGGAACACCCATCTCTATCCTCTTCTCCCTTTTAAACCCTGCTGGTCCCTCAGGGTAAGCCAAGATGTCACCTCTTCCGGGAAGGCTTCCATGGCTTCCATGCCCCTCCCACTTAAGGCTTCCTAAACCACAGTACTTACACTCAATGCTAATTGTTCTGTCATCTGTCCCTCCCACCACCAGCGTAAAGACTTGACAGAAGGGACTCTGTCTCATCCCAGGTGCCTGGCTTCTAATAAGCACTCAAAAATATTTGTTGAATAAATCCAGTGCATGAATGGAAACTCTTCAGTGGCTCTTTCTTTCCTGTTGAATAAAAGTAAACTCTGTAGTCTTCCACTAAATGCCCTACACAAACGGACACACATCTTTTTGGTACTCAGCTTTCCTTCACAAATTCTTCTCTGCCATACTGAAAACACACTGTTTTTCAAAAGTACCTTATCCTTCCCATCTCAACAGACCACGTGTGCTCTGCGATCAGCCTCAAATGTCCTCACCCATTTTTATCCCCCAAATCTGACCCATTGTTACAGCCCTACTTGGACACTTCTCCACGACCCAGCCCCCGTGAGGTCTTCCCCACGAGGAGTCCTGCCTGCCTCTGCCGGCACAGCAATTTCATCTTTTCTTGTGTTGTTTCTCACTTTCTGCCTCGCATTCTGCTTTTGTGGTTGGTTTTGTTTGTTCGTATTAATGCCCTTGTAGTATTCTGTGTTCAAATAAACCCCCACCTTTCTCATCTCTGCCTCTGCCACGGAGCCTCTAGCCCAGCCTCTTATTACTCTGAGTTTCAATTTCTTATTCTGAGAGAACAGTGCCTACTTCATAAGGTTTCTGTGAATATTAAATAAAACACACTCTTTAAATGTTAGTGTAGCATCTCAATGTTGATACAGTAAGTACTCAATAAATGTTAGCTATTATTATGGTTATGATGATGATTATCTGAAGAAGTAAATGGACAGAGCAAGTCCCTTTAAGCTCTACCTTCAAAACATCTTTTCAATTCTGCTTCATCTCACCGCTTCCATTATTATCACTCTGCCCCCAGCCATGCACATTGCTCTTGATATTATCACTGTGGTTTACCTGCTCGCCTTCCTTTCGCTCTCTTGCCTCTCAGCCTCTATTCTCCACTCAGCAGTCAGCATGATCTCTTAAAAACAATAAAGCAGATCATATTACTTCCCCGCTCAAAACCCTCCAATGGTTTCTTAATCTACTAATAAAACCCAAACTCCTCACCGAGGGCTGAAAGGTCTAATGTATCTGGCCGGTGACATGTTCACCCTCATTGCTGTTATGCAGCCACAACGGCTTTCTGGTCTACCGTCATCGGCTCTAGTTCTTGCACTTGCCAGACTTTGCATCACAGGGCTTTGAACGTGCTGTTTTCTCTGCGTAGTACAATGATCTCTTCCTCACTTCCTTCAAGTGATCTGTGCTCTCAATTCTTACCTCCTTGAGAGTAACCACTATGTGTAAAATGCTAACCATTGTTCTCAATCTATTTTATATTTCTCCTAGCTCTGAAAACTTATATGAATATTTTAAAAAATGCGTTGGTTTATTGTCTTTCTCTTCCACTAGAACTGTAAGCTCCATGAGAAGTTGTCCACTGCTCTGTCCCCAGCCTCTAGAAGTGTCTGGCACATAGCAGGTGTTCTCTAAGACCTGCTAAAGCTAGCTGTGAACTCCTCAGAGGGGGACTTTAGGAGCAGAAGCAGCAACCTGTTGCACACAACTGCTTACCAGCTCTGGGTCTCTGTGAAGAGGAAATGGGGTTGATCTACCTAAAGGGTAAGGGATAGAGAAGACCCATTTATCCAGACTTAGAAGACATTCCTCTTTATCCACTTAGATGAAAATCTGGCAGAAGATACTTCCAGGTATGCATAATGAACTGTGTAGCACTATAGAGTTAATTCGCAGGGGCTGGCGACAGGCACAGCAGGGGTAGCAGAGCCTCCCAACTTCCTCAGGTTCTCCTTTGTCCAAGGCCTTGGGTCCTGCTTGGCTGGCCAGGCCTCCAAGAGCACATGTTGATGAAATACTCCAGAGGTGCAGCCCCCAAAGTTTCTTAACACTGCCTTCACTAGCTTCATGACATCCACCTGGAGGAACCCTGAGGCCCCCGCAGAAGAGTGGGGTGAGATGATAAAGAGGAGAGCTTTGGATTCAGGAACGCTGTATTCTGGGGGATTTGGGGAAGCCACACGCCCTCTCGGGGCCTTACTTTGTCTTCACCACAAGGCAGTTGAGTTGACTGTATCTTTGAAGTCCTCTCCAGCAGTGACTTTCTGAAGGTATATGAGCTTCACATACACGATCAACTGGACTAGGTTGTTCAAGGGTGAGGCAGTGGGGAAGAGAGACCCAACATGGAGGCAACGGAACTGAAGCTGAGAGTTAGGAGCCAAGCAAGACCAGCAGGTGGAGCCATTGCTGCACTAGGATGCTTAGGCCAAAGGGGAAGCCTTGTCTAGAAAGCTGAGACTCTTCCGTGCAAGTAGTCCTGCCATCAGAGAGAACTGGTTGCCACCGCACCCCTTCAACACACACACACACACACACACACACACACACACACACGCATGCACGCATGCACGCACGCACTCCTTCCTCCCAAAGCTTGAGCACTCTGACAAACTCAGGGTAAAATACTATTTAGGTTGCTGGGGTTGAGGCTGGAGGCCTTTCAAAGACTCAGTTGCCTTTTCTCCTCCTCCTCCCATGGTTCCTGGGAGTTTGTACCCTGTACCCACCCCTTCTCCCTGCCACTCTAACTGGCCAGACCCTCATCTGGTCACTTTCAGGGCAGGGTGTGTGACTAGACAGATGAAGGCCCACCGGACTTGTCTTTTTCAGATTCCCCTCCTTCCCTTCTCCAACCCCCACAACCAGCCGTCCCCTTCTGGGGAAGTCTCCAGATCTCCCGCTCCATCTCGTGGGGAGGGACCTCTGGTTGAGCAGTTGGAGAAGCGAGGGGGATGTGGGGTGGGTAGTGCTGAAGGGAAAGGTCTGGCTTTCGTTAGATAAGAATGGAAGGATCCTTTGTTTGGCCCCAACTGCCTTTGCCGCTGTTGACACACTCGGGAGCGTTTCCTGAAGCTACTCAGTTGTGTCCGGCAGCTCGGCTTCCCCCACTTCCTATGGTCTGAGGTGGGGGCGGGGGTGCTCACAGAAGGTTTTGCAGTTAGGCTGCTGTCTCCATGCTGAGGGTGGGGGCCCCCCTCTCCTGGATCCGGCAGCCAGATCTTTAAAGCAAATGCTCCCCACTGTTCTGCTCCCGGCCAGGGGCAGGGGATGGTGTGATAATCGAGGGTGCACAGGCCATGTCTCCTCCCCTGCGTGTGGCGTATTTTGTATACAGTTACCAAAAGGCTTCTCTTACCTGAAAGGTATTCATGCAGGGCATGGCTCCTAAGTCCCCATCCTGAAGGCCCCAGCTGCACCCCCTCTGCCTTTTTTTCTATCACTAGAGGTATCCAGCTTCCCTGTGAGCCTTCCCTGTCTCCCCCCAGAGAGGGCAGTAGTTGGTAGACTTGTCCCAAGGGGCAGCATCCTGATGGGTACCCATGTCCCCCGAGATGGTCCTCCCTACCACATCACTGCAGAGTCCAGCCACATCCAATGGAGAGATCGCCCACTCTGGCATTCAGACACACTCAGCTGGGTCAGAACCACAGAAAAATGGGTTTCACTATCACTTTAATTACAGTATTTACACACCATTTTTTATTCAGAGAGAAAAAAAAAATCTACCCAATCATCCTATCTCTGGAAAGTTCTATTTCCAACCGTCATTGAAATCAGGATCCCTGCTCACCCCTCTGGAAAAATAGAAACAAGGACCTGGGTCACCCACAGAGGAGGTGGCTTGTGGTGAGGGTGCTTTGAAGATGTTCCTGGCCCTGGCCACAAGTGGTTGCAGAGCAGTGAAGGGGGTCAGGGTGGAGGAGGCAGGGACAGAAGGGAGTCTGCTGGGGAGTGAGGACATGGCTCACCCCAGGAATCAGGGGAGGAGGGGGAGGAAGCCACTGAGATCACAGGGTAAGGCCAGGACCTAGCCTAAGGGCGAGAGGCTTCCTGAGATGCGTATAGGGCAAGGGGTTTGGCTCAGTGATGTGGCCCTGTGTTCCTGTCCCCGCTGACCACTGAAAGGGGAGAGGAGCCCACGCAGAGGCTCTGCGAGCTTCCAGGACGACCAGGACTGAGCTATCTGCGCGCCTCCATCTGTCCCCATGAGCAGGAACATGTGTGCCCCTGCACCTCCACCCTGTCTCCCAAACACAGAGACATTGTTCTGAAACCCAGAGCCCCGTTCAGGCTCAGCCAGAAAGCGGCTTCTGCACACAGATGCAGGGGAATCTGGGGACTGGGGGCAACTTGGACAGCAGCGGGGAAGCTGGCAATGAATCCACAGTGACTTGGAGGGGCCTAAGGTACACGGTGTGAGATGAGTTTTTCTGGCTCTATCATTACAAAGGAGCAAGTGTAGCGGGTTGCTTTGGTTTCCCTTGAGTGGAAGAAAATATACGGAAGGAACAGTGAAAGGCAAAGACTCCTGGGAGGAAACTGTAGCTCAGAAAAGCCCCGGCTTTCTCCTGGGAGTTCCTACATGAGGCAGAGGAGGGAGACGAAAGGGGCCGTGTGTGAATGCTGAAGACCATCAACCCCAACTGGACGTTTCTCTGACTTCGGCTTTCCCCATCACATCCGTACTCGAAGACGACCAGAGGCTGGGTTCAGGGAGCTGAATGTATAAAGGGCAGGTTACCTGCCTCTCCCCAAGGTGGAGAGAACCCCTCTAGGGTGCAGCGCAGGGCCCCAGGAATGGCCTTGGAGGGTGTGTGCAGGGGCGAAGGCCAGAAGGCAAGGATGGCGCCTCCGGCGGGGGGCAGCGGGTGGCCAGACGCGGGGAAGGCCCGGTGCCCCAGACATCGCCCAGCCTTGCCCCACCCAGCCGAGTCACAATTCGGTATCAGCCACCACGTGTTGTCTCGCTGAATGGCCGTTTCTGGACGTGGCCTGGCCGGTCCCGTTCTCCTGAGCCCCTCGGTTCACACTGGCCTTCCCCTGAGCCTCAGGGGAGGCCCCAGGGCCTGAGCTATAGCCCTGGCCTCCACCGTTCTCCGTGTAATAAGGGTCTTCGCCCTAGACGGTGCATAAATAAAGGAGTATTATCCGGCAGCAGGGGAGCGAGACCCGGTGGGGAGGGGAGGGTGGGGGTTGCAGCTGCGCGTGCAGACTCCTGTCTTCCTGCAGAGCAGTCAGGGTTCCAGCTCCTAGGGAGAGAGGACAGAGGCGAGGCACCACCATGCCACCGAGCTCGCCAGGCCGTCCCCCGGGCGTGAGGACCTCCCCAGGCCCGAGGCCAAGAGCCAGGCCCCAGCCGGGCCTCCCTCCTCCAGAACCCTTCAAAATTAGGTTTTTCCACACAACAAAAAAATTGTTTTGAGTACGTTTTCCCTCCACATGCCCCCTTGTGAGCCAAGGGGTGCCCATGGCCACTGAATGTTTGCAAATAAGCGGCTGATGTAGCAGCCTGTTCTGGTCGTACCCAGATGAACTATCCCAGTGAGAATAACAAGTCGATGGCATGAACCATCTGCTACCACAGTGAGGTGGGCTGGTCCCAGTTCGTGCCCCTCCCCCATCCCCAGTGTGCTATACAGGGAGGGGCAAAAGTAGGTTTACAATTGTGAGTACGTGAAACCCAGAGTTTATTCTTATATTATTATTTATTCATTATTGTAATTATTTTATACACAAACAACTGAAAACCTGCTTTTACCCCACCCTCCCTGTATATGGTTTTGACTCATCCAAGGACACGGTAGGCATAGGCTCGCACATCCCTGCGTAAATGCACAAAAGTGCCTTTTCTGGTATTTCTCCTCCTACAACATGACATTCAGAGACCTCTCCAAAAGACCACTGTCTTCCTCATTTCCTTTGGCCCAGACCCCGGAACTAACCAGCCTTTCTCCTGTGGGGCTCCAGCTGCGGCGGTTCATCAGGAAGTAGCCAGTGGTGCCCAAGACAGCCAGCAGGATCCCTGAGGTGACCAGAGCAATCAGGGTCTTACGGGGGTAGCTCTGGTGTTTCCCAACACTTTCTTCAAAGACGTCTTGGATCCCCAGCTTAAAGAGGAGACACAGCAAAGACAGTCTAGTCACTTGTAGCATGTGGGTTTTAGAAAGGAGTCCAACTCACACTAGACCCCAGTGTGTGACCCAACAGTGAACACATACAAAAGACATCGGCCCCGGGAATTTTCTAAATAGGATTGAAGACTGACATCGCTTAATGAAGCTGCGCTGTGAAATTTTGGTTCAAGCGTAGGAAGATGAAGGCTGGTGCAAAAGGTTGGAGGGGAAGCCGGGGGGATAGGGGGTCTGGGGAGGGTTGTTATTTTCCCTGATCCAGTGAACACCCCTGACTCGTTATCTTACAGAACTTACCTTTTCCAGGTCAGACTGGTGAGATTTCAGAAACTGGATCTTGCTGGGAACGTCTAGAATTAGAAACAGGGTTGCTGAATCTAGAAGCTGAACCAGCGCATCTGCTCTGCCCTCCTAAGCTGTTTTAGAAGATGCTCTGATGGCCAAGATGGTGCATCTCAGGAGGGCCTCTCCAGGTCAGCCCAGCCCTGCTCCCCAGCACCTGCGTTCTCTGAGCTCAGGTGCCTGATTTCTACCCTGCATCCCTTACCCTCAGCCCCACCCCCTTCCTGGCCTCCGTACCTGTTCTGTTGGCCAAGACCAGGAGCAGGCAGAGAGGCTCCACCTCAGACTGGGCAAGGAGCAAGGAGCACACACCGGCCCCAGCCTCGGCCTGATCCTTCGTACACAGGATTCGGGTCAGGTCCTCTCCATTGTCCTTCTTAAAGTCCTCCTGGGAAGACAAACACAAATGATGAGCAGGAGACGAACTCAACAGTGTGCCCTGAACTGGATCCAGAGTCTCTACAGTAATTCTGGTTAAAGCTTCCACAAGAAGAATCCTTCTTTTCTAAAATTCCAACTGGAAAAGAGATACCGTGAACTATATGTGGGCGAGAACACAGTAAGAAAAAGCACTCAAAATTTTCTCAGTACCAAAATGTGTATCTATTAGTGTCTTTGGTGTAAGATGCCAGAGAACAAATTTACAAAATATCTTATCTAAGGATTGCCCGTGCCCATATCTACTATTCAAATTAAGTTAAAAAGGAATGGCCAATAACAAAAAAATATTAATATTGCAATACTGAGGAACATAGCCTTTGTTTCAAGGTTACATAGCCCCAAATGGTTGGAGAAAAGCCAAGAGAGGTGAGGAGGAGACCAAATCTATGACCACACACTCAGCAGGATCCTCAGTCCCGTCCCTCTTACTCCCCAGGGGGTCTCACAAAGATCATGGTGCAAATGGAAATGAACTTTTGGTCAAGTCTCCCACCCCCTTTCCCATTAAAAATATAGAATCCATGCTTTTGAGGTTCATAGGTCTTCCTCCAGGTTGCTGACTGGTCCGTACTAGGAACTGAGTCCTACTCAGCAACTCAGACTCAGAAGATAAACTCTGATGATTCGTCAACAGCGAGTTCCAGGAAAGGGCACTCTCTGTGCCATGCCAACGCCCTGCTCTTGAGCACCCCAGGATTTATTCCAGCAGCCTCCAATCAGAGTGGTCTCCCCGCGCAGGGAAGGAACGGAAACCAAGACTCTCTGCTCCGTCCAGATGGCAGATGGTGGAGGAGGAAATGCCTGAACAGATCTGACAACTTTCCTGTTGGGGGAAAGCTGCTGGGGCGCGTGAGGCCCATCAGCATGGAGCCTACGTGGAGGAGAAAGCTTCCTGTTTGCAGGCAGGCTGCTTCTGTGCAAGGCCAGAGGCCCCCCAGCTTGGACAGCAGCCTGGGTATTTTCCTACTGCTGTGGCCCAAGGCAGGAAACCCCAGGCTCCTTTGCTCTTGCACAAGGCAAGGTCAAGATTGGCCTCGGGCCCCAGCTTTCTTCCCTCAGCTGGAATTTGAGGGAGCTGAGTAAATCTCCCTGGGCTTGGATAAGGCCAGGAGAGCGGGACTAGCTAAGCTCCGAGTCAGAGAGACGAGTCCAGTGGTGGCCTCAGAACCCTCCAGGAGCCGAGGCCTCAGAGAAATGATTTATCGGGCCACTGCTGCGTCACCCCTCCGGAAAAGGGTGAATTCTGCACATCTCCCTTGTTTAGTCTTTGGGCAGAGGTCCTGCTTCTGGAAAAATCTGGCTCTTTAAAACAGCATTTGCTATAGGTAGTGTGGACACCACATTGGGTATAATCAGCAGTCTCCGTGGTCTTCTGAGCGCTGTGCATGGCTTCCCCTGAGCTGCCCGCTGAATGAGAAGGAGGAAGTCCTGCCTGGAGGGCTTCTCACATACCTCTGGCTGAAACGTGCTTCCTTCCCGAGAGGGCAGAGGGACAAGGCTCCTGCACGATAGAAACAAGCTAAACAAAATGGCACCTTCAACCTGCCGAGTCCAAGAAGCTGCTCCTCAACCAGACTCAGCCGTTCTGACCTTTATCAAGTCCTGAGGATAAGACACTGTGTGAAAACCTCTGTGGGTATGAGTGTGTGTCGTGAGTGTGTGTGTGTGTGTGGGGGGGGGGGCGCATGAATTCCACATGTCCAAGCTCTCAGTTTGAGTGCATGGCAATAAAAATAAATGAAGTTTACTAGGTCTTAGGCCCTGTTTTAAGTGTTTTGCACATATAGATTAATTTAGGCCTCACATACCCTATGAAATAGGTTCTATAATTCTCCCCATTTTATAGATGAAGGAACTGAGGCACAAAGAGACCAAGAGGTCACAGAGCTAATTTACGAAAGAAAGGTACAAGTAAGATGCTGTGAGCATTCAAAGGAGGGTGAGCACACATCTGGTGTGGGGTTATCAGAAGCATCTCAATACAGGCCTTGAAGAATGGGTAGAAAGTGTACAGGAGAAGCTGGTGGGGAGAGGCCTTTATTGGGGGGGCACCATGAGAAACCTTGGGGACGTGACAGCCTGTGACTGTCACAACCCTAGTTGCAGGAGAATGAACACTGCCTTCTCCCTTGGATTTCCCATCCTTCCAATTCCCACCTCCTCCCTGAAGCTGGTCCTACCCCCATCAGAATGGGCATCGACCTTTGCTCTGCTACTTACTAGATTCTATGCATGTCATGCGGTTTGTCTGAACGTCAGGTTCCTTAGCTGGAAACTGAGTCATTGAGGTGAGTAAGGGGGTGTTGTATGAAGAGCGCCCACAGGTGTTTGAAACCCCATAAGCACTGGGAAAATGGCAGCTATCACTAGTACTATTAATAATAGCAATGCCTTATATACTGTCATCTAGAATCCACATTTTGATGTTTAATTATATTAGACTCTGTCGTGTGGGGAGCAGGTGTACATTACATAAGCTGGAACCCAGACTGAACTAAGCATAGCACCAAATAAATAAAAGAACTCAGTGCATTGTTGTTCAAGCTAACATCCCAACTGGTTTGGCCTCCACACAGAGTCCCTCCACTCCTTGCTTAGTTTCTTGGACTAAATTCAAGGGAATAACAGCGGCCAGCCTCCCACTCTGGAATCCAACAGCATCAGTGAATTGTGTTTGGGCCTGGAGAGGAGCAGGTGGATCCTGAACAAAGCACAATGCTTCTCCGGATGCTTGAAATAAACATCCTCCCCCAAGAGAGGCTGTGGGCAGACATCATGGGAGCGTGGGCAGGGGGGAGCCACGGCCTCGCCATTTTGCTCATGAGAATCAGATTTGCGAGTCCTTAACCACATCTGCTCGCACACTTCACTTTGCAAAAATAATAACTGCAACAATAAAACCATCCAACCTTTCTAGAGCAGCACCCTCAAACTTTTCAAAGCCTCTTAACATGTTAAAGAAGCATTAAAGTAGGGAGAGAAGGACAGGTATTTTTCTAAACGACCTTTAAGGTATCTCCCAATTAATCTCTCTCTCTCTCTCTCTCTCTCTCTCTCTCTCTCTCTCTCTCTCTCTTTACTCCAATCTCTCTTTTAAAATAATTTTATGCCCTGGCCAGTTTGGCTCAGCGGTTAGAGCGTCGGCCTGCGGTCCGGAGAGACCCAGGTTCGGTTCCCGCTAAGGGCACGTACTTCGGTTGCAGTTTGTCCCCGGCCCTGGTTGGTCGTGCGGGTGGCAGCCACTCGATGTGTCCCTTTCACGTCGATGTTTCTCTCTCTCTCTCCCTTCCTCTCTCTCCCTCCCATTCTATCTGTACAAAAAATGGAAAAGTATCCTTGGGTGAGGATAAAAAAAAATAAAATAAAATAAAATAATTTTATCTACTTGGTGTGAATTTGACAACACAGGCAAAACCTCTATGTTCATATAGGAGCCGTTACAAGGCATACAAGTGGGCAGCTGACCAAGGGCGAGAAGTTAGGCCAGATTCAGGCTCTTTCCAAGGCGCACACTGTCTTCATCAGCCCTCCATCTGTAAGTGATTCTTCTGCATGGAAACTGACCTTTAGTGTTTGGGCATAGGGCAAGGAAGGCGTGGGCTGGGAGATATGATGTGGAGGCTGAAGGCAGTCGGCCTCAGATGGAGTCACTGTGACAGAATAAGGGTAATATGAGCTAGCTGAATACATGAAACCTCTGCATATAAACAGATATGGCTCGAAAGAAAGGTAGTTCTAAAAACAAAATTGATGGGTAAAGGATTTCAATAGAGATTTCTCCAATAAGATATACAAATGGCTAATAAACACATGAAAAGATGCTCAACATGATTAATCATTAAGAAATGCCAACTAAAACCATAATGAGACGCTTCATGCCCATTAGGATGGCTACTGAAAAAAACAAACAAACAAAAAAGAAAATAACAAGTGTTGGCAAGAATGTGGAGAAATCGGACCCCTTTTGCACTGTTAATGGGAATGTGAAATGGTGCAGCTGTGATGGAAAACATAAATTCTATTTAAAAATAGAATTACCATATGATCCAGCAATTCCACTTCTGGGTATATAACCAAAAGAAATGAACTCAGGGCATTGGCGAGAGATTTGTACATCCATGTTCATAACAGTATTATTCACAATAGCCAAAATGTGAAAGCAACGCAAGTGTCCATCAGTGGATGAATGGATAAACAAAATGTAGTATGTACATACAATGGAAAAATATTCAGTCTTAAAAAGTAAGGGAATTCTGACACATGCTACAACATGAATGGAACCTGAGGACACTATGCTAAGTGACATAAGCCAATCATAAAAAGACAAATACTGTATGATTCCACTCATATGACATGCCTAGAATAATCTAATTCATAGCAACAGAAAGTAGAATAGTGGTTGCCAGGGGCCAGGAGGAAGGGGGATGGGAAATTGTTAAATGGGTGTAGAGTTTTAGTTTTGGAAGATGAAAGAGTTCTGAAGATTGGCTACCCAACAGTGTGACTCTGCTTAACATGACTGAACAATACACTTAAAAATGGTTATGTCATGTGTATTTTACTGCCATGAAAAATGTTTTGTTTTTTTTTTTGGTGTGTGTGTGGATTTCCCTGGACAAATGGGTATGACATAAGAGAATAAAGTAATCCCACATTTTGGAAATAATTTGAGAAACCACAACCACAGAAGAGTAATTAACCTGATAAAGCAGCAGAGAAAATGAAAGTCAGACGTGGAGTGACATGTTCTGCTAACGAGGATTGTGAGATGCGGTACCAGGTGCGAGAGGGACCGCCCTTCCTCTCCTTGGATGATATGGGTGATGTGTGCCTACAGAAAAAGGATGGGGAGCAAAGGAGAGCGATTGAGACACAGATGTCTACAGAATGCACGTATGGAAGACAGGCCTGAAGAACCCACACCGCGCTCAGTAATCCCTGGGCAGAATGAGCGTCTGGAGAGCTGGAACCACGCATGTGCATTTCTGTTCTGGGAACATAGATTCAGGAGCTTGCCAACATTACGTAATTACTCAAGGGCGTGATGTTGGGGGAATCCAACCCCTCATGCTTCTCATTAGGCTGTGAGTGGGGCCTAAGTTTCTCATGGTTGGAACCAGTACCTGAAGGCCTTCTAACACCAAAAGTACAAAGCAACCTGAGGAAAACTAACACTGCACCACTCTGGGTTTGGAACAGGCTGATGATCAGACAATCATGGAGGACTCAAGGAAAAGGAATCTGGAACACAATCAGAAGCTGTTATTTTCCTTAGCTATAATTAGCAAAGGAGTTTTGTGTGTGTTTTAAATGAGTAAAGTTGAAAGTCAGCATCAGAAACACACAGAGTATTACTTGCGCATTTTACATCACGTCTAAGTTAACTATTTTGCAAATTGTACTTAGTTATTCCATGGTATGGACTTATGTCTTCACAATTTCTTTTCTTTTTAAAAGTCCTGAGTTAATTCTGTTAGGTATAATTTTAACCAATCAGTGAGTCAGAGCCACCCGATTAATAGTCACAGGTAGATATCAGTAGTTAGAATGAACAAAATGCCCTTTACAGAATAGTCTTTTCCTAGCCCCTTTCCAGTCTATACATGTCACACATCACATATATATGGTTCCCCTAAATAAATTCTCAACTTGTAAGAAAATGTTTTTTTTCTGTACGTAAATACCATTTTCCTATCATCCCATTCTTCACCCAGAGCCTTGTTACTGTCAGAAAATGGAATTTATTGCAACAAAGCAATGAGGTCTGCTATCATCATTAAAAATGAACATCATGCTGTACAATCTTACCAATGCAATAAGACATGAAACTGAAACAAGAAGCATAACTACTAAAAATGAGGAGAAAAACAATGCATTATAGAAGATAACATAGTAACTTACCTTAAAAACAGAAAAGAATAAATTAGAAAGCTCCTGGAATTAATAAGCAAGTTAAACAAAATGGCTAAACTCAAGATAAATATTCAAAATTCAATTAACTTTCTAATACAACAACAATAATTAATTGGAATACATAATGAGAAGTCTATATTATAAATAACCTTAAGAAATCTATAAAACCTATAGAAAAAAAATTTAAAAACTAAAAACAACAACCAAAATGCTGAACAATATAAGAAGAGACCAAAAAAAATGAAAGAATTTGAAGGAATTTTAAAGCAGTCTCAACTAAAATTTTAATTTTTTTTCTTCAAATTTTGACAAGATGTTCCGTAAGTTTTTCTAAAAGAATAAAAAAATACTTTTCATTTATAAAGGTATAATGAGCAAAGGACTGCCTGGCTAGATATTAAAAGTGCTATAATGTAAAAGTATAATAACTTTTAAAAATTTATAGCAGGCAAAAAAAGACAAACAGAATAAAATATCTGTCAAGAATATACCCTGTGACATATGAAAACTTAATGTAAGCTAAAAGAAGCATTCTAATCAGCAAAGAAAGAAATAATGTTAGGAAAATGGTTATATGGAAAATACAGCATTGTAGGTAAAAAAATTCTATATGAATTAAAGTTATATGTAAGTAAATATAATAAAGAAATATTTTAGGTGACTATTTTATATTTCATGAAGGACTTTCTTAATATAAAAACAAGCTGAAATCTGACTATATATATTACATGTACTAGTGAGGAGATAAAAAGTAACAACTAAATTGAAAGAAAATCCTCTTTGCCTTCTTTGTCCACCAGATGGGGCCTCTTCTCCCTAAACCCAAAGCTCAGGATTGGGGTACTAGAAGTAGCCTGACCTTGCTAAGACCCCACCAACATCCATCTAGTCCAAAATGGCCTAAGGAGGTTGAGTGGGGATCGTGGGAGGAGGGGGAGGGGAAGGAGCAGGGGTTGGGGAGTTTGACTTACACAGCTGTAGGTCTTACTGAGCTTCAGGCAGATAGCTTGGGTCAAGTTCACTTCTTTGACTTGGGAACATTTGATTTCTTCCTGTATGAAAACAAAAAGTAAATAAGCCTCTCCTTTCTTCCCCACCTCTTTCCCTGTTTGATTTTTGTGACGTACCCTGTTAGGAGATTTTAGAGAAAAGAAAATGTAAACATTTGTTAGGGGGCTAGAGCTTTATAATAGTCACTCTCTCCGTCCACCTTCCCCCCTCCCCCCAGCAGAGGCGAGCTATTTGCCAACTTGGTGAGCGCTGGCTTGCAGGCCCAGGGATAGAAGAAGGCAGGTCAGGCTGTATTTCCTCCAGTGAATGATTTACTTGCAGAAAGGCCACACAGGGTGGGCAAAAGTAGGTTTACAGTTGTTGTATGGCAAAGAATACGATAAATCATGATAGAAGAATCAACCCTGTGTTTTGAGCACTCACAACTGTAAACCTACTTTTGCCCTGCCCTGACTAGGCAAACAGGTAATGGGATGGCCGGGCAGATCCTGGTGGCACTCATTTTCCTTCTGGCCCCTAGGCCTCTCCAGATTCCTTTTCTCGTGCCATTAAAAACAGAAACCAGGCAGGGCCCCCAGTGCCTGCTTTCAGGTTCCATGGCCTTTCTTTTTTGCATTTATCATCAGATAGAGCGGGAGGGAGAGAGGGGGGAAGAGAGAGAGAGAAAAACATCCATGTGAGAGAGACACATCAAGTGGTTGCCACCCACACGACCCCAACCGGGGCCTGGACAAACTGCAACCGAGGTACGTGCCCTTAGCGGGAACCTAATCCGGGTCTCTCTGGTCTGCAGGCCAACACGCTAACCGCTGAGCCAAACTGGCCAGGGCTATGGCCTCATATTTTCTACCCTTTGTGCTGAAAGCTGTTGACAGCCACAGGGCTGAGAAGGGGACGTTGGGCTCACCAGCCCTGGTCTACTCAGCTCCTTACCGCCTCTCTATGCCTGGCATAACCGCCAAACCCTCTCACACAGAGGACATGGCATTTGTCCTTAGCATTTTGGGAAACACAGCCCCATTAAATGGAAGATGATTTCTAGATATGGCCAAAAGGGAATGGTGGCCTAATCAAAGCCCAGATCAAGAGGTACTAGAAAAATCCACCGAGGATCGGATGGATCTCAGAGAATTCCCTTTATGCTCTACTCCTAGAAATGCAGTTCCCATGGCACAGATCAGTCTTGCCCCCTGACCCCACCCGTGTTCCCCTTTCTACTTCTTCCAGCAATATTTAAGCTGCATATTTTCCGTGCTAATTTTTTTTTAATTGATTTTAGAGAGAGAGGAAAGGAGAGGGAGAGGGAGATAGAAACATCGATGAGAGAGAACATCAATTGGCCATCTCCTGCATGCCCCCCCCCCCCCCGGGGGTTTGGCCCACAACCTGGGCATGTGCCCTGACCGGGAGTTGAATTGGCGACCTGTTGGTGCATGGGTCGACGCTCAACCACTAAGCCACATTGGCCGGGCTATGTGCTAATTCTTAATGACCCAAATCTTATTGGAATGAGGAGAAGTTAAAGGGAGCATAGAGCTTGTGTACATATGAAGCGAGAGGGCACTCTGCCATTTTGACCCAATTCACCCACCTTGATGCTACTTGACGTAGGAGAAAGTGATGTATAAGGTTTAATGGAAAATGTCACAAGGCTGGTGCTATTGTATGGGGGCTCTGTGATATTTCCAAGTGACATGTTGGGCTTCAAGGTCATCTCTGAAGTTGAAAAGTTGGTTAGGGTGGAGGCCATAATGGTGGCTAATGAGGTCTGTGTCTCGACAGAAGAGTTCACAGTTCCAGGAACTGGGGTGATTCCGGAAGTGGATGTAAAGTTGACTGTCGGCTCTGAAAAAGACCAAAACACAAGTATGCATGTGGGCACATTCCCAAACACACACACACACACACACACACACACACACGCGCGCGCACACACACACACACACACAATCTCAGTTCACTGTCTTGAGTGAAGACTTTACAGATAATGACATAGGCATGGACTTCAACCCAGGAAAGGGAATTTGTGGATTTAAGAGTTACTTCATGTCCTAACCCTAACCAAACTCATTTCAAGCCAGCTGTTGGAACCATAGCTGTAATCTAGAATGTATCAGAGATGCCCTCAGGATTCTGAAATTTAACTGAATGCTGGTCTACCCTAGAGAAGTCAAAGACCCCCAACTTGAACCTGTGCACATCTCCCTTCACGTAGAAAAGATCAGAGATCTCTAGGGTGTTCTCATCTAATTCTTATTTTATCACCAAGCTGAACTCAGCATGAGAGCAGAGGGACGAGGAGCATTCCTGATCAGGGTCAGCCGCATGGTACTGGCCTGAGAAAGCTGTCACTACAGGAAGAATGATCAAGCATTTACTTCAGGGTATCCTAAACATGATGTCTAAGCCATTTTCACGAGGGGCTATGTTTCCATTTATGAGAGTCAGCAGGGGCAGGAAGAGTGGTCTGCAAATGTCCGAAGGCTTCACCCAGGCACCAGCAGCATCCGGCTGGGGCCCAAGACAAACACTTCTTACCTGAGATGGCTGCTGTGGTCCCATTGCTGTCCTGAGAGACAGGGGAGAACGTGGTGCTTTCACGAGTCCTTGGTGTTATGGTTTCCGGGCTGGATACATCTATCGGAACAGTTGGAGACATTCCTGTGGTAGATGACTCTGTGGTAACAGTAGTTGAGTTGTCTGTATTTGTGAATCCAGAGGCTGTAGGACAGCAAGGAGGAAAAGTGAGAACTTAAATTGTCCTGGAGGCTCATGACATCACCTAATTCAATTTCTCGACTTCAAGTAGAATCCATCTAGAGTATCTCGTGCTCACTTTGACAGCGCATATACTAACATTGGAATGTTACAGAGATTAGCGTGGCCCCTACAAGCAAATTCATGACACGTTAGAGCGTCTCCTGCCACCCCTGGCAAGGCAGCAGCAACAGCTATGGCTCCTCCTGGACAGGCAACTAATTTGTATGTACCAAGTGTCTAGTATAGTATTATCTACAGGAGGATCATCACAGGAGGGAAAAGTTGCAACTAAATGAATCACAGTAGGGTAAATGGCCTATGTTCCTAATATACTATAGTCATTACAAATAAAAAATTATGAAAAAACTACAGCAACGTGAGTGTATGAGGCTACATGTTCACAACATGTTAAGTACAATAGTAAAACATTGCTGGTGTGGCTCAGTGAATTGAGTGTTGTCCCAGGGACTGAGAGGTCCTGGTTTGATTCCCAGTCAGGGCACATGCCCTGGATGCAGGCTCAATCCCCAGCAGGGGGCGTGCAGGAGCAGCTGAATAATGTTTCTCACATTGATGTTTCTCTCTCTCCCTTCCTTTCTCTCGCTAAAAACAAAACAAAACAAAACAAAACAATAAATAAATAAGAACATATTTTTAAAACATTAAAATATCAAATTATACCTGAATAAATATCGCAAAGCTCTAAAATGTGAGGAGGATGTACCTCTATTCCCTTTTTAATGTATCCTTCTCTTTCCATCACTCTCCATCCACCATATTCATTCTTGAAATAATCACTGTGTTCACACCGTTCTCTATGCACTCCCCTGAAAAATCTTCTATTCTTCCTAGACTTTCCCATTCCCAACTCCCCTCATCCTTTCCCTCATGGCCTCTAAACCTATCCCGCGTTCCTTTGGTTGAAGAACTGCAACCCCAAGGTTTCTTTCAGGAGTCCCTGCCCTAGAGTCTAGCTGATGAACTGGACAACACCGGGCTGATTTCTCATCATGTAATGGCAAGACCCTGCCAGTAACTCTGCAATTTACGGTGTGCCTGTGCATGCCTGTATGTCTCAGTTTAGGAATCTCTTAAAGTGAGGGTTTTTTCTTAGATTTCATAGATTCTTGGGAGAATCAACGAGACAAATGCAAAATTGCTATAGGACAATGTTTCTGGATCTTGTTAGTCTCTGAAGTTCTTCATGAGGGTCCCTGCCCTTCCAGGTTTCCTGGGGTTCCCAGCAGCGGTGTCGTTAGACCCGGGGAGGGGAAGCTTCTTGCCCGGACCCTGAACTTTAGAGCCCACACTCTGTTCCTCCTCCTTCCCTGCCCTTTCGCAAACCATGGGGCCACTCATGAGATTAGCCCCTCTTCCAGATCACACGTCGGGGACCAGAAGTCCTAGAACATCTTGCTCACCTGAGGACCTGCGTGGGCCTTTTCTCCCAGCCCATCCTTCCGCGGATGAGCTGCAGCACCAGTGTGCACTCCAAGGCCCAAGGGCAACTGAGAGGTGGCTCTTTGCAGGGAGAAGGGTTGGAGCACAAGCATGTGGGTAGGGTGTCCCTTACATGAACGCAAGGTCCTCTACAGGGTGGGCCAGAGTTATGGTTAAGAAGAGAAGAGGGGCGGGTGAGGGCCAAGGGCCATCTCTTCTTGCTCAGCCACCCTGTGGAACTGAATTTCAGGACTCTGGGAGTCTGAAATTCAAACCCGGCCTTCCAAGTGGCCATAAAGGTATATTTTTCAAGGTCTGAGAAGAGAAGATATTTTATTTATCAGTCAGTTGGCCTGATTTAAAACTTTGAGGTCTTTGGCCATATAGGCCTCCCCTGTACTCTTGGCTGGGACCCTGTGAATGTTGGAGGTGGACTTGATATCCAGAGCCCACCCCCCACAGAACCATCCTCAAGGCTCCTGAGGGTCCCTAACACGTGTCTCTAAATTGTCCCGATGGAGAGCTAGGTGTGTTTCATCCCCGAGGTTTCCAGGTAAAAAGCAATGTAGAATGACACCCATTCTTTCCCTCAGCAACAAGAGGGAAGTGAGTCTTCAATGTCAGGCCAGTAACCTGGGGTCAAGGACATTTCCCCTAAAGGTGGTGACAAGTCTCACTGTACTGAATTTGCTCCCCGCCCCAACCTGCTTCAAGGAGATTGATGTTAAGGGTGAGGACAACAATCATCGTAATGTCGTGCGCCAGGTGAGCAGAAGGCCAAAGTGATGCTGCTATTTCCAGCGTGGAGATGGGAGCCTGAATCGCCAGGGTTTGGGCAGAGAGAAAGGGGCGTCGTTCATGCAGGGTGAGGCGCAATGGGCCCTGGAGGGGCGGAACTGCTAGGAAACAGCATGCATCCTCCCTACTCTGCAGAGAAAAGACGCTCCTGTCTGGCTTAGGCAGGGGGTGAGTTTAACAAAATAAAATAGACGGGGAAGCAGAGTCAGTCTTCTGGCCTTAAATAGGACCCTCTCAGCAATCTGACCCTAAGGTCTGGATTCACTGTAGGAACTGGAATGAAGGGTCATCCTCTCAAGGTGCCGTTCCAAGCATCCCTGGAACTCCCCCTTGATGTCACTCTTCCTGCCCGCCCTTTCCTCTTTTACCCCGAAACACATCAATTCCTGGGAATCCCATCTGGCCCAGCTTGGACCAGCCCTTTTCTCTTCCCAAAGGAAGCTGGCCCTGGCTGAGGTGATGTCATGCGTTTGAACCCCCTCCCCCGGGGCCTCCTTCACCCAGACAAACAGTTTTGAACTTTTCCAGATGTGTAGAGAGACCTGCTGCTCGTTCGGAGGACAGGGGTGCTGTGCCAGATGAGTGAAGCAACCCTGGGCTGGGGCCAGCTACCAGCCCGAAGGGTCGGGCTCGGGCTGCAGCAGCCTCCGCCCACCCACCACTCAGCCAAGCACGGAGGCACTCACAGCAGTACCCGTCTGTAAACAACAGCAGGACCCCAACCTCCCACCCGTGTTCCTGGGCCTAGGTGAGCAGGGAAGCCTCTGAGACTCGGGAGAAACTGGGCAGAGAGGGAGCGCAGACCGGCAAGGTGAGCGTGGGGTGTGTATAAGCTGGTGTAGGGCTAGGGGACACCTCGGCAGGGCCCTGGGAGACGATCCTCGTCTGGATGCTGTAATACAGGGACCATCAGTGAGGAAGTTTCTTGGTTGCACAGTCTCTAAGGCCCCCTTTGTAGAGTTTGTTCCCATGAAGAGACTGGGGTCTTGAAGAAATGACATTTATAAGAATCAAGACGGGCCACAGACCTCTTTTTAATCCTACCTCTCACACACATTCATAGCATTAAACCGTCACACCTGACTTTTCTTCATCTGTACTTCTGATCCCTTACGCTGCAGGGAGGAAGGGCAGCCTACCAGTCAGGTTCTTAGAAGTGAGGGATGAAAGCGGCTCCTATTCCATTCCAAACCGGAGGCACAACCCTTACCCCCAACCCACAGAAACGTGATAGCACAATTTAAAAACAGAAGAAAAGACTATCTTCTCTTGTCTACCCTCTAAAAAAAATTTTTTTTTCTCTTTTGATTTTAGAGAGAGAGGAAGGGAGAGGGAGAGAGAGATAGAAACATCGATGAGAGAATATTGATGAGAGAGAATATCGACTGGTCATCTCCTGCATGCCCCCCACCAGGGACTGGGCCCACAACCTGGGCATGTGCCCTGACCAGGAATTGAACCGGTGACCTTTTGGTGCTTGGGTCAGTGCTCAACCACTGAGCCACACCGGCCGGGCTCTTGTTTACCTCTCATTCCATCTTATTAACTGTGTCTCCCTAGGACCCCATTTGACCCTAGGTATCCTATTTGATCTCAACTCTTGAACTTGGAGCAAGGGAAGAAGACAAGGTCTCAGGAAGTTAGCAAAATGAGGATTCTAAGAAGCCAAAACAGATGTCACAAAGTTTATGTAGTAAAAGTCATCCATTTAACTTACAGGTACTCAGAAGAAATTATTCTTGTCTTACATGCAACACTATTAAGCTTGGTTATTTGATATTCTAGCTAAAGCTAAAAGTTAGAAAGAGACTTAGAAACAATAAGGAGACGCAGCAGCTAAAAATGAAGAAATAGCCCTGGCCAGTTTGCCTTAGCAGTTAGAGCGTTGGCCCTCGGACCAAGGAGTTGTGGGTTCAGTTCTGGTCAAGGGCAGGTACCTTGGTTGCGGTTCTGTCCCTGGCCCTGGTCGGGGTCATGTGGGAGGTAGCCGGTCGATGTGTCTCTCTCACATCGATATTTCTCCCCCCCCCTCCCTTCCTCCTACTCTATCTGAAAATAAATGGAAAAATGTCCTCGGGTGAGGATTTAAAAATAAATAAATAAATAAATAAATAAATAAATAAATAAATAATAAAATAAAAATGAAGAAACAGAAATAAATGCAGGAAAGACATGAGTATCAAAACCCATACTAGTCTGGCCCTGGCAGGTGTGGCTTTGTGGTTAGAGGGTCAGTCCTTGCACTGAAGGGTCACGGGTTCAATCCATGTGTGTGCGGGTGGCAACCAATCCATGTGTCTCACATTGATGTTTCTCTCTCTTTCTTCCTCCCTCCCTTCCACGCTCTCTAAAAATCAATGGAAAAAATACTCTCGGGTGAGGATTAACAACAACTAAAACACTAGAATCGTTTATGGTAGGAGTGAATAAGTACATACACCTAAGCATTACCATGTCACTGAGTTGCACCATGACCAAACTATTTTCATGATGTATCTGACTCATGCCGGTTAAAGTCCTCTTTTTTTTGATTCACTTAAGGAAGCAAAGGTGTGCCCTGGCCGGTTTTCTCAGTGGTTAGAGCATTGGCCTGGGGCCCAGAGAGACCCAGGTTCAGTTCCCGCTAAGGGCATGTACCTCTGTTGCGGTTTGTCCCCAGCCCTGGTTGGGTCGTGCGAATGGCAACCACTCAATATGTCCCTTTCACGTCGATGTTTCTCTCT